TGGTTATGTGACTGTGATACTGTCTTATGGTTTGTGTGTGTGATAGAAATCTTTTATTTAAAGTATTACATATAGTAGTACACATATCTCCTTTTTCCCCCTATAGACCTTCCCCCAGCCTCCCCTACCCCTTGTCTCATGCCCTCACCTCTCGCACCCCCCGCCCCCCCCACCCCCCCCAGTGTCTGTGTCCATTGGTTGTGCTTTATACATACAAGTCCTTCGGTTGATCTCTCCCCCCACACCCCCCCAACACTCCCCAGCCTTCCTGCTGTAATTTGACAGTCTGCTCGGTGCTTTATTGCTCTGTGTCTATCTTTTTGTTCATCAAGTTATATTGTTATTTTCCATAAATAAGTGAGATCATGTGTATTTTTCTTTCATTGTCTGGCTTATTTCACTTAACATAATGAGCGGCCAGGTGGCTTTGGGAAGTTCTTGCAGGGATTCATCCACTTAAGACAATTTTAGAGGGTCACACTTTTCAGTGAGGTGGAGGTGAGACCAAAGAGTCAAGACCCACCCATTCTCAGACATCTTAGCACTGATGATGGCCATGTCTCACTTGATCCTCTCCCAGGACTCTGTGAATGGCAATCTCCACAGGCTTCTCCCTGGACAGAGTTCTGCTGGGATCAGAAAAACCTGTGAGGCAAATTCAACAGCACTTCCACTTTCTACTTTTCCTATCAGCGAGACACCTGTCTAAAGGAAATCTATAAGTACACTGCAGGTATTTAACAGGGAGGTTGGTAAGCGCTTTAAAAAGAATTTTTACTTAAAAGAGTTAAAAATAACCAACACATTTGGATGAAAGTGTTGGGGGAAGTGCACTATTTGGGGTGCTCCATTAGACATGGCTGTCATTAGTTTTATTTTTTTAATTTATTTTTGTTGTTACCATGACAGGTGTCCCTATTTCTCCCCACCTCATCCTTTGCCCACCTCCACCCAGCCCTCCCGCCCCCTTCCCTCTGGCCATCGCCACCCCATTGTCTGTGTCTATGGGGTACACTTACAGCTTATACCGACAGTCCTCGAGTTACTTCATTTCATGGTTATATTGCCATCTCCCATTTATTTATATATTTTTTAAAAAGTTCCATCATTTTGACGTATGTATATATGTGCTCTGTTTCTATTATTTACTTACCACAAGTAAAGGTTAGGAACTGTTACCTTTCTTTTAGATTTTTTTTTTTTTTTTTTTTTTTTTTACTGTTTCACTTCATTGCTGCTGTGTATGTGCTCCATGTGAGTGACATAGGTGCCTAGGTAGGTGGGCTCTGACTTTCAGCGGTTTTTCCGCTGTAGGAACGGATCTCTGAGGTAACCCGAGGACCTACTGTGTGTTCTTGGGCTGATCCCTTCAGTCATTGGGTAGCTGTATTTACTTGTACCAAGCACAGGAAATGGGAGCCACATAACAAAGGGAGGCTTAGCCATTGCTATGGCCACTGTTTGGTTAATTCCTATTGCTTTGTTCTTTGCAGCTGGCTGCACTTATCAGGTTGGGTTCCTGTCAAGCTCATCGTATTGGCAGCTTTTTCTACAAAATACTGTGCTTCGTTTTAACCTTTAGCAAGAATAGCATTTAATAAGAACTGCCCAGACCTCGAGACCCTTATCCTCAAGTTTAAGTGAGTTTAGCTCACTTGAGTAAATACATTTTAAAAGAAAGGAGATACTGTAAAATAGAAATTTAATTGTACCCATTCTGTTGTGTGTTTTTTTTCTCTTACAACTGTACAGCATCAGATTTTGAGTCCCAGAGGGAAAACAAAGATCCTGACAGGCCCTAAAGAAAGAATTCAAAGCTCCTACCAGCCACAGGGGCTAAGCAGTGTGTGAAGACACAAGCATGGTGCACAGTAGGTCTCTGAACCTTAGGGTGAATCTTTATTACAAAGATGAGGTCATTTCTAAGGAATTTAAGGAATGTATTTTCTGATAATTTAAGTGTTGGAAAAAGCTAGAAATAAGTCTTCTTTCAGCAACGGAGAAAAGAGCAAATAAAAACCACTGGTTTTGAGTTCGATATGATTTCTTGGGCTGTATGCCTTCAGCTGATTTCATTAAACAAAAGACTGACACCTGATTAGGATGAAAGTGAACCAAAAATAACAATAACATGAACTCCCAGCTGGTGTTGCTCAGCAGTAGAGTGTTTACCCAAAAACCAAGAGGTTGCCAGTTTGATTCCTGGTCAGGGTTGCAGGCTCGATCCCCAGTGAGGGCCTGCAAGAGGCAGCTGATCATTGATGTTCCTCTCTCATCGATGTTTCTATCTCTCTATCCCTCTCCATTCCTCTATCTCTAAAAATCAATAAGAACATAAAAAAGAATAACACTAATAATAATATTATAATAATAATGGCTAACATTGATCATTCACTGCATGCCAAGCATTGTTCTGAGTATTTTTCATTTAACTTAACTCTAGGGGGGAAAACCCCTATGAGGATGATAGAATCTATTATCCCTACTTAACAAATAAGGACACAGGCACACAGAACTCCATAGAGAAGACAACCAAATGATGCTCTTTTTGATCGGCAAGGCTTTTCTTGCCGAAACCGGTTTGGCTCAGTGGTAGAGCGTCGGTCTGAGGACTGAAAGGTCCCAGCTTTGATTCTGGTCAAGGGCATGTACATTGGTTGCGGGCACATCCCTGGTAGGGGGTGTGCAAGAGGCAGCTGGTCGGTGATTCTCATTGATGTTTCTAGCTCTCTCTCCCTCTCCCTTCTTCTCTGTAAAAAAATCAATAAAAAAATATATATTTTTTTAAAAATAAAAAGGCTTTTCTTTTGACTAGTCAATGCTCTATCACCCAGGGCATACCATGACTCACAACCAAATTTACTAACTCGGGTTTGAAATCTATCTCACAGGCAGGCAGGGTTGTTGAGGGTGGGGTGGGGGGAGATACGGGATCTTTATTACCTCTTCTACCCACCAGGCACTTTTGCACACAGATGAGCTCAGGTCCTGAATTCCTCTCTCAAGTGAGGGCTCCTGGGCCTGAGCACTGTTAGTGCTGACTCTTCAGCCAACAGGCCTGCAGGACTCGGGGACATCAGAGGTGACACCAGTACTTCTCATGAACGTGAGTTGGAAAACCCAAAATCACCTTGACTCCCTAGAAGACCTGCTAAAGGCCATCCCCAGCCTTGAGGTGAGAGATGATCCTATCCTTGCCTCCCTCAGTGCAGTTAGTTTTATCTAAAATTATGGGAATAGCACCTAGATATAAGGAAAGTGCATGCTAGCTTACATTTACATCCAATTTACCCGTAAATGCTTCACTATTTCAGTAGAAATTTCACCCTGAATATCCTGACCTCATGCCAGGGACTCTGCTACACATCAAAGAGTGAAAGCCCTTTATCATTTGAATTTTATGACCGATCATACAAGGTTCGGCAAACAACTGCCCACAGGTCAAATCAGGCTATCACCGCTTTGTGCTAACAATGTCCTTTCATTTTTAAATAGATGAAAAGAAATGATAAGAATAACATTTCACCGAAACCGGTTTGGCTCAGTGGATAGAGCTTCGGCTTGGGGACTGAAGGGTCCCGGGTTCGATTCCGGTCAGGGGCATGTACCTTGGTTGAGGGCATATCCCCAGTTGGGGGTGTGCAAGAGGCAGCTGATCAATGACTCTCTCTCTATTTCTCTCCCTCTCTGTACAAAATCAATAAAATATATTTTAAAAAAAAAAGAATAACATTTCATGACATTGGAAAGTTACATGAAATACAAATTTTTGTGTCCCTAAATAGTTTTATTGGGGCACAGCCACCTGTATTATTTGGCAAGAAGATGCTTTACCAGCTGTGACCTACACAAGTCACATGACCTCTGGGCTTCAGCTGGCTCATCTATAAAATAGGGACATACTTTCCCAGTCTTGTCTGCCTGGAGGCAAGACGTGGATCAGAGGATATTTGAGGCCATTTCAACCTCTAAACTGAAAACAAGGGGCAGAGAGGGAGGGGCCGGTAAGGTAGGGGACACTGTGAACAGCTATCCCTCAAAAGCCAAGTCCCCTTGTCTTGTGAATTCTTTCGGTAACCAAATACCTGCCCTTCAGTCCTGCCAGTCAGCAGTCTATTTCCAGAGGGGGTGCCTGGCTCCTCAGATTCCCAAACCACGCCACGCTACTAAAGAGATAATAAAGATGGAATTTAATAAAAAGAGGAATATGTAGAATAAAAATTAATTCTTTCCATAGCACCAGCATCAGAAGTATTTTCAATACGGTCTTGACTACATATCTTATTAATAAAATAACCATGGACATGGAAAAATATATAGTCATTTTAGGGCAAACTATACATTTCCACCTTTAGATCAGAAGCTTTATCTGGGTGTTTTAAACATTCAGACAATTAACATTTTCAGATGCAAAGCCTTTTCACTGGCCTACAGTGGACACTTCGGGGTAAAGCTCCTTGAAGTGGCATTTCCCCGAGGGAGCTCCATTCCCAGCTCCTCTGCGTTCTCCCTAACACCGAACCGCAAAAGCAGAAAAAAACTGCACACACCAGCAGAAAGGCAGCGCTGTTTGCTCGCTGCTGTTTTACTTTTTCAGCTTTTATAAAACGTCCTGCTTTGGAGTCTCAAAGAGAAAGCGGGTTAGCAGAAACAAGGTGAGTGCGGGGTATTGCAACATGGGAATGAACAACAGATCGTCTTATTTCAAAAAGCCCCGCATTCTGTTCATTTAAAAACACCCGCTTCCTTCCGAACGACGCGGGTCTGAGACCCTCACAGTAATGAAGTCACAAAGAGGTAGTATTTGCTTACAATTCTCCTTTCCCAGCACCGCCAGCCCCGCGGCCAGTCCTCGGTTGCGGTCGGTCCATTGCGGGCGGGGGTTCCGGGAGGAGCGTTTTCGGTTCCCGAAGATCTGCGCTCACCCCCTGCCCGCACATCGCTCCAGCTCCGGCTCCCTGGTCCACCTCCTGGTCCACCTCCTGGTTCACCTCCTCGGGTCACCTTCTGGGGCCTCGTGGCCCAGGAAAGTCGGTCTCTCCGCAGCCCGGGGGTCCCCGCGCCCCGCTGCCCGCGTCGCCGCCGGTGCGGAAGGTGAGCACGGTCACGGCGCGCTCCGCGGTGCGGGTGGCCAGGCAGCCCCGCGCCCACTCGGTGAGCTGCACCTCCTCCGTGGCCCGGTAGTCCTCCACCCGCACCAGCACGCTGGGCGGCCGCGCCGCGCGGGGAGCCCGCGTCTCCCGGGGTAAGTGAGCGGGAGGGCACCCCTGGGCCTCCCGGTCCGCGCCCTCCTCCCGCGCCGGGTCCCCGCGAGCCCGCTGCCCGCGCTCCGGGTGGAGAAGGAAGAGCACTTTCTCTCGGACCCGGGACTCGGAGTCCAGGTCCTCCCCGGCCCCGCGGGCCTCGGGGGCGCCGCCTGCCGCCGCCGCCGCCGGGGGACTCGGGGTGCCCGCCGCCCGGGGGGGCCCGCGCCCCGCTTCGCGCATGAAGAGCTCCGCGCGCCCCAGGCCGAGGGGGGCGCGCGCGGGGGGCGCAGCTCCGCGGAGACGCGGGGCCCCCATCCCGGCAGGAGGCTCATTCATCCGCCGGCGCCGTCCCCGGTTCCGCTGCCGACTCCGTCCGTCCGTCCGTCCGTCCCAGCCCGGGAAGCGCGGGACCGGCCGCCCGTGTGTGGCCACGCCCCCGCCCCTGCCCTCTCCGCCCCCGGGTTGTCCCGCCCGCGGAGCAGGGGGTGATCGGATGAGGCGAACCTGGGACCGGACCCGCCACTCCCTCCCCTCCCTCCACTCCCCTCCCGCCCCCCCCCCCCCCCCCCCCGCGTGCAGCCATTTAGAGACCAAAAGCCTGATCTCCCGAGGCCACAGCTCTGGCTCCGGCCCCTCTTTCCTCGCATCCCACCCCCCCGCCCCCCACCCCCGTGGCTCCCCCGGGGCCGAGGCGCGGACACCCCGCTCTGCGCACCTCTGGGTTGGCCGACCTAGTTGCTCCCTGGACGCGCCTCCTGGTGCAGGAACGAGGAAGTTCGCTGAAAAGTGATGTGACCTCATCAAATTCTTCTGAAAAAGGGCACCTGTCCACTCGGACCCACCCCACCCCCCATCCTACCCCCCACCCTGGGTCTAGGCAACCGAATGTCGCTCCAGGGATCAGACTGGGAAAGGAGACGCCGGTGGGAGAGGGCTTCGGTTTGCTGGTCCCCCTTCTGTGGGTCTGTGGGACTGGGCTGCACTTGTCTCCCCTCTGGTGACAGTCGGCGTGCTTCCCAGGAAGGGCCTTGGTGCCTTTGACCAAAGGGAAGCAAAGCGCTAAACGTACTTCTTGAGGATTTAAGATGTGTTCATATCGTTCCCTCCCCCCATCCCCTCTCCCCCAGTCCCCTCTCTTTAACGCCAGAGGTGGAAAATGGATGTGTGTGCTCTTGGCATCTACTTACTGTGATCCCCCCTGCCACACTAATCTCCGCCGGAGGTAGATGGAAGCTAGCAAAGAGGAAAATGGGTGTGTGATGTCCCGTCCATTCTTAGGCTCGGGTACTTGTTTTATTAGACACTGCTCAGTGTTCCTCTCTGCCTTAGAAGAAATACAGCAGCGGTAGAAATGTTTGCCCATATAGGAGGGGCCAACTAGCCTGCCAGGTCTTAGAATTAGGAAAAGTGTGGTCGATGAGAAAACCTGGGTCAGACCTGGCGGATTTGAGGCCTGGCCTTGGGCTGGTTTCTGGTAAATCACAGCTCACTGAAGTTTTTTGAGGGTTTTTAGATTTAAAACTCATTCACTCTTTGCAACAAACTAAGGGAGGAGAGATCCTGTTGTAATTAACTAGTTATTAACAGCAGGAAAGGAGCAAAGGAAAGGCCAGACACTATAGGCTTGTCTATTGGGCAGCTTCCCGGGACCCAACAAAGGGGAGCAGGAGCATGCCCAGTAAAGTTGGGGTAGCATAGGGAAGGTGCTTGCTGACAAAAAGGTCATTGGCCAGAGTGGGCGTGGCCACTGTAAGGGCAGGACATTTGGGATAGTTTAATCCCCTGAATGAAGGAGTTACACGCTCTTCGTTCCTCTTGCTGCTCTGGGGACTTTTGTGATTTTGGGATTGTGGGGCTCCCTTTGTGCTCCCCCACATGGCCCATGGTCATGTGGCCCCACACACAATGGACTAATGGTTGCAACTAGCCATGGTCATGTGACCCCACACACAATGGACTAATGGTCTGCAACTAACCATGGTTATGCGGTCCCACACACAATGGACTGATGGACTGCAGCCATGGTCATGTGACCCCACACACAATGGATTGGAACTAAAGGGCTCCAACGTGGAAAGGGAACTCTGGACTCTGATCTGCTTCTAGCTTTGCAGAAAGGATGTAATTCCGTGGAAATAGCGTTCTACCATATCTCACCCTCTGCAGATGCTTATCCCAGTGGTACTCCAAGAACCCCACTTCCACTGATAACAGAAGTATTACTCCAGTCTCCTTGACAATTTTGAAGGACAGGGAGGTTACGTATTTATTTGCCCAGGGTCAAGCACTCATAAAGAGTGGAGCCAGAAATTACCTGCCTGTTTTAAGCCTATGACTTCATGTTCTTTCCTGTTCATTTCCTTGACCAGTAATGACTGAGTGTGTGCTGAGTGTCAGCCGCTATTCTAAGTGATGGGGACAGGGTGGGGGAGGGGAAGAGACAAACCAAATTGCTTGTCCTCTTGAAGTATTCGTTATATGTAGTAACACAAATCAAGTTCTCTATCCAGAAATAAGAGTTGATAAATGAACTTTGATGTACATGAACATCACCTGCAAATTACTGCCCTAACCTACTCTCAGATTCTGTTCTCATAAGTTTGGGGTAGGGCTTAGAATATGGGGTTTTAGCAAGACCCTCAGTGATTCTGATCCTAGCGTCCCTGGACAACTTTATGAGAAACATCACCAAACATCAGCTTAGATAAACTTGAGGGTTTTTTGTTTTTTTGTGTGTTTTTTTTTTCTGCTTTCAAATGGCAACAAGAACACTGTATTTTCCTTCTTTATAGGAATATTGGGGAAATTCCAGTGAAGAGGTCTGTATTCCTAGGGAAGCCTAACGTAAACCACAAGATTTATAGCTTCCGGTATTTCAGTATTCAGCATTTCAATATTGGAGAATGAGAAAAACCCCTTCGTTGAGAAGTGAGAGGCACCGATCACATAGCACCTGAATTTCTAGATGTCAGGAAGTTGTATGTAAATGCATGGAAGAACATGAGGGGGAGGAAATGCTAAGTACATTGAGCTTCCATGAGACAAAGCCCAACAAGACTGGAAGCCAGAGAAACAGGTGGCGTGCCTCCAGGGTGGTGGTGTCTGCTGTGCCCTAATGACTCAGAGTGCCTGAAAGGCTGAGAAAGGTTGTAAAGGACCCCACTGGCTCTCTGAATTGCTTATTATAGTTTGGGGCCGGTCAGGTAGTATAATAATTTGTACCCCTGAGGCCCGGAAAGTCACAGCAGACGTTGCATCCTGACAGTGTCAGAGGAAGCCTGTCATTTGGAGGTAGCCCAGTCTCCCAAGGACCTGGCTCTCTCGTTTGCCTATTAGATTCAGACGTTATTTTAAATTCTACTATGCTCTCATTCTCAGTTATTCTAGTGCCTTTGCCTTTAGGAGGTTTACCCCCCACTTGCAGGCCTCTGGCTTTGTTTTATTGCCAGGGCGATATTTTATAGCTTTCTTTTCCTAGCAGATCTAAAATTCTTGACTTGGGAAACTGGCCTAGTAAACAGTTTTTTTGTTTGTTTTTTACTCGTGAAAAAGTAAAAATAAAGCGGCCCTGCTGGCAGCCAGGCTGTGTTGGTGCCAATGGCACTTAGCGAATACTCACACATATAAACATTGTCCATGTGAAGGACACGCTGAGACCAGAGACAAAACCATAAAAAAGATCCAGCATCTCCCCCTCCACTCTCCTATGGTTAACATAATTGGCCCTGCTGTGTTACCCATGATGCCGCTCTCCTGCTCCTGCTTAAATTCTCTGGCTTGCTAGATAAAAATCACCAAGGCACCCTTTCTCTGCATCACCCCCTCCTTGAAAAGATCTAATCAGGAACAGTTCCCTGAATCCTCTGAGATGTGCCTCCCAACTCCATGTAATGACAGGTCCCCAAATTTCTCCGAGGTGCATTCTGACTTGCCGAAGGGACTGGCCTGAGCGAGATAAATTAGCCTAATTAGATTTGTAGTGCAGGTGTGTTCCTGCTGGTCTTTGGCTGCTGCCGTGGTTTACCATTTACTAATTTGGAAAGTTTATGGTGCCACGCCCTGACGTGAAGTGGGAAAATTGTTGGGACAGGAAGAGGCTGGGGTGAAAAGGGAGGGCAAAAGCTGCTGCCAGAATGGATTTCTAGTGGTTTGGCTACAGGCAGCTTGGGGTGGCTCTGACATTGGGATATGAATCAGTACCTCTCTTGAATCAGTACATTCATCAGACAAAGTCATATGGTAATAGGGCTTCACTTTTAAAACTCAGGAAATGCAAAGAGTTGTGGCAAATAGAATGTCAAGAAATGTTTATTTCAGCGTATTGGCTACCGTTCCCATTTTTACACCCGGTGGAAAGTTTCCGAGAAGCTTGTACCAGGGCCCTTGGCCCACTGGCTGCATGAGAACTTATCCGTGCCTTCGGCCACGGGAGTCACAACTCAGACAAGAGTCTTTCAGCAAAGACTCTGTGGCTCACTCCTCCTGGGTCTGTTGGTAAATAAATTCGTTCAGATAATGTTTTTCATCTTTAGAAATAAATGAGCCTGTCACAGTATGACAGGTCCTGCTCACGCACACGTCACTTTTATGGGGAAATATCAGGGTTTTCTCGAGGACAGCTGTTCATGAAGCTCAGGCCTCCCTAAGCGAATAAATCAGGCCAGGTGCAGGCAGGTGTATTGTTGTAAGCTGCCCTGTCTGAAAGGAATAATGGGTCACTAGATAATGGAGCTTCTTTATTGTTTGCTAGATATGCCTCCACCGCAAATAACTAAGTTATCCTTGCTAAGTAAATGCAAGAATTCCTGTTTCCAGGAATTTACAATCACATTGGGGAGAGAAAAATGAATAGACATGAAACAGCCAACTTTTCCAATCTGAATGAACTTGAACTACCTCGTTACTTTTCAAACTTGAGTACACATTGGAATCACCTGGAGAGTATTTTAAAAATGTTATCTTCGTCCTGGCTGGCCGGCTCAGTTGGTTGGAGTGTGGTGGTCCCGTTTACCAAAGTGGTGGCTTCGATTCCCCTTCACGGTGTGTAAGGGAGGTTACTGATCGCTCTCTCTCTTCCTTCCTCTATAAAAATCTATTTTAAAAAGTATCTGGCCTGCTCTAAGAGATTTGATTGCATTGCCTGGGCAGCTTGCGGGCACTGGTGAGTTGATGAATACCTTCCCAGATGATTCTAACAGCCACCAATAGCAGGAGAGCCACTGGAGTAGATTATCTTTAAGACTATGACACCAGGAAAAGAAAATTTAAGAACAATATGTACAGTAGGTGCCATAATTACTGAAAAGAAGTTAAAGAGATCCAGTCCGGAGTTAGGG